TAGGGCTTAGGGTCGAGGGTTTAGAGGTTTAGGGTTTATAGGGTTGAGGGTTGAGGGTTTAGGGTTTAAGAGGTTTAGGGCTTATAGGGTTTAGGGTTTAGGGTTGAGGGTTTAGAGGTTTTGGGGCTTTAGGTTTCTCTACGGCCGTATAAACCCTAAACCCTGAGCCAGGGTTTTAGTGATTCAGGGCTTACCGGTAGCTCCAAACCTACAAAATCGTAGGTGATGAGCCCTTGTTCTAAGGTATAACCTACCCATAGGCCCCATAGTAGCTCCTTTTTGTGGCTTGTATCTAGGATCCTATTAGGTAGTCCCAAAAAGCAACTACAATTGGGCCTATGGGTAACCCTATATAACCCTAAATCCCTGAATTTAGGGTTTCTAGGGGTTTAGGGTGTCTTTACGGGTTCTGTCGGGGCTCCTCGAAGGTCTTGAAGGTTTCTATAAGGGTCCAAGTAGTCCGAATTTATGGTTTTTAGCTACCCACAAATGCCCCAAAGTGCTTAGCTCCGCAGAGCTCTTTGGGTTTAGGGTTTTCGGGGGTTTGTAGCGCTCGGGCTTCAGGCCCAAAAAGGGTTCCTCTAAAGGCTCTCTGAAGGGGTTCCGGCTCTACAGGTTTAGGGTTTAGGGTCTAGGGTCTACAACGGTTCTATAGGGGTTTAGTTTCCTCTCATGGTGCCTATCTATCATGCAGGGCTCTACACAGAGGTTTGGGTTTTGGTGGTATATAGGGTTTATCGGGATCTAGGCCTTTAGGCTTTTGGGTTTTGGGCTTCGGAAGAGGTTTGAGGGCTTTCGGCTTTCGAGCTTAGGGTCTATACTGCTCATGAGCTGGGATAGCTACAAAGTCACAAGCAACACCAGTGTGAACACCCTACTAATGATAGAGGGAATGTCCAACAAAGCCTGAACACGCTGTTTATCCGAACACGAAAATAGTAGCATCCTAACTTACTAAAAACAATCCACATTGTCTAGAACCTTCAAACTGCCCCAAAGCTTACACAACTCCCAAAACCCTCAACCCTATGTTCTATATAACCCTAAATCCTAAACCCCAAACCCCGCGCCTGGCCGATGACGAAGACGTTCTCCAGACGCGTGTTGAAGCTGTGTCCAGCCGAGTCCTGTGTTTATCACAGGGCTAACCCAAGCAAACATGAAAGTGGTAACGACCCCAGAGGCTCCATATATACTACCACTATGGAATTAGGTCCCCAAAGCCATAATAAGTATGGTCTTTTGGGACATAGTTCCATAATGGGAATATAACTGGAGCCTCTAAGGACTGTCTCGTACAAATAAAACTCGCCTTGATGTGGATGATCTCGAAGGAACCAGGGTGCTTCTCACGCTGCGTGATGGTGCCAACTCGACCAATGTTGTTTCCGCCGCTGACCATCACCTTGATCGACGCTTTTCAGGATATGCGCAGGACTCAGCCGTATGCATGCAAATCTAAACCAACACAGACACGACAAAGAAAGAACTGCACATGCTGGTGTCTCTGTCATGCGCTCTACGCGTGCTTTGTTATTGGCCGTTTGCGTGGTTGCTCATGTGCATGCACGCATTGCCTGTAATTGTAGGTTTGCATGTGCCAGCTTAACCTTCAACCCGAGAATTTGCTGCAGAAGCCCCTTCAACCACCGAAAATCTCGACCAGAAATCTTGTGTAAGAGGAGGGGCCGTGTTGCCAACTTCGAACTTCAAGTGGTCCATGATCTGCGAGGACATTACGGTTTAGGGTGGAGCAGGCAAGGGCTTGGGCTGGGGCACATAGTAGGCTCATGGGAGTTTGGGCTTCCAGGATTTTAAACACCTGCGCAAGCCGTTTGGATATTCTAGACATCTCAGCAAGAGCTGTAGAGCCGGATGCCCCCTTAATGATACTCTGATACACATATGACATATGACAGGTTCGTGCATCTGACGGGGCTTGTTTAGGGGTCGGAAGACGCAGGATCCTACCAAACATCTGGGTACTGTACTAAGGCCCTCTTATGATGACAGAATGCATACTCTGCCCGAGTCCCCTGTATGATGACTGAATGCATACTCTGTATGAGGGCCCTTCTATGATAACTGAATGCATACTCCTTAGATAAAGGATGTTGCGCTCCCTGAAGACCTCAGACCCAGAAGGTCCCACGTACGCTGATACTCACCCTTAAACCCAATGATAATGGTTTATAGGGCTTAGTTTAGGCAGAATCCGTACTTCTTTGTACGCACTTGGGACCCTTTGTTCTGCCCTAGAGCACCACAGGAAGTCGAAGCCACAGACCTGCAAGTGCATCCGACAGAGAGGCCTGATTAAAAGGAGCAACTAAGGCTTCGGGACATACTGTAGGATAATCACAAGGAAACCTTAGGAACATGGGGTAGACTATAAAAGTAGCGGTAAGACAGGGAACCCTAAGGAATAATATTACCAACCTGAACCCTAAACCCTAAACCCCAAACCCTTAACCCTAAACCCTTAACCCTAAACCCTGAATCCTTAATAATCATTCAGGCATGCTCGGGACTCCGATTATGATTCAGGCTTGTATCGTGGAGGCTTGACATCCTAACCCCAACAGGGTTAGCCACGGTTTAGGGTTTAGGGTTCAGGGCTGAGGGTTTAGGGCTGAGGGTTTAGTAAGCCCAGAGCTTCGAGTTGCAGGGTTTCTACAATGGCACCTTATAAGACAAGCTCTACAGAGTTCTGGTGCTTGGGGTAGAGGGTTTATGGGTTCCATTAGGGATGCGAGGTTTCAGGGATGAGGCTTGGGGTTGCAGGTTTAGGGCTTCACGGTCTAGGGTTTAGGGTAAAGCCTAAACCCTAAACCCTAAAAGCGATTAGGTGCTACATGTGCTTGTTAACCCTAAACCCTAAACCCTAAACCCTAAACCTGTTCCATTCCTGTAGACCGCAACTCCGAAGCCCCTGAAGCCGAAACCCTACAGTAGAAGCCAGAAAGTTTGGAACATGGATATCCTCATGGCCTTAAGGGTTTAGGGTTTAGGGTAACTTAAGGTAAAGTCTATAAGGCATCCTAGCACTAATCCTCCCAAACCGATGTTCCAGATTCCAACTTTCTGAGATTCGCTGTAAAACGCCCCCAGCCTTGCCGGTGTCCAAATCCAGCCGGACAGTGTCGTTGGACTGTGCGGCAGCTCACGGATGCACTTTTTACTTCTTTAGGGTGACTTGATCGGGTCTTTTTGGGGGAGGTAGGGGTTACTTCTGAGGAGTTGCGCCGTCAACGGCTGGAGAAGCTCACGCAGACATGACCTAGCAGCATGCAACCAATGCCAGGCCTGACGATGGGCATGCAGGTCAAGAGTGATGGACGATGCCCTGATGCCTATGTCCACGTCGAGTGCAAACGATGATGACGTTCGTGTCATGATCTGCAAAAGGTGATTGCGATACTGTTCAGCCAATGAAGATTCCAGATACGCTGATCCCAAGAGGGAACATCGGAGCATGCTGCAGCTGTGCGTGGTTCTGGTGTCCTGCATTTCGGTTTAGTGAGCTAAGTTTTTGAACGCTAAACCCCTAAAACCCTAAACTTTCCTAAACCCTAAACCCCAAAACCTTTGACATTCAGAAACCCTTTCGGGCTTATATAGGAGTCTTTGTTGTTGGTTGCGGCAATATTTCAATTCAATCCTAGCCCCAAAAAGGTCCATCACCGTTCGAATCTGCTCTGGCCTCATTTCCTTTCCAAATGCTCATATGGGGGTGTCAGAAAATAGGGGACCCTAGTATAGTACCCAAATAGTAGCATCCCTATTATAAGGACCCCAAAATAAAGTACCTATAATTTTCAGAAATTCCCATATAGTACGGACCCCGAGATTGAGATGATAGTCCGGGAAAGCCCGGTAAACACTGTAAGCCCTAAACTAGGTTCCTGAGTGACCCCTAAATAATAAGGGTACTCTTTTCCTAGTACTCGGTTTTAATAAGGAGACCCCAAAATAAAAAGGGCAAAAGGGTACTACTCAGGAACCTAGTAAAGGGAACCCTGAAGGGGACCATTCAAAGGATCAATGATGGCCTTCACGTCCGGATCTGGGAAGCGAAGCGTTCGGCCATCGTGCGTGACAGCATAGGGCGTGCCGCGGGGACCTGTGCCCAAAGAGATTTTCGCAGGGTAGGGTATCCAGAGTACCAAGAGGGTCCAGTAATACTACTAGTATGGAGTTACCCCAGTGGTCCAAAGGACCCAAGAATCCTACTATTATGGGGTTACCCCAATGGTCCAAAGGACCCAATAATCAGGTACTTAGGTTTCGGATAGTAGTTATGTAGGTTACTATTCGGGAGAGTACATGGTCATTATAAACCCTAAACCCCAAGCCCTAAACCCTAAACCCTCTATAGGTACTTGGACCCTTTAGGGTTAGCTCCCCCAAAACCATGATAAGGATGGCCTGTTGGGACCCCATTCCATCATGGTAGTGTATATGGGCCCTCTAGAGTTTTTATGGCTTAGAGGGCTCAGGGGTTAGGGTTATTGGGTTCAGGGTATAACGTAAGGGTTGGGGTTCAGGTTTGAGGGTTTGAGGTATTAGTGGGCTTATGAGGGTTCAGGGGTTCTGAGGTATGCAGTTTAGGGTTTGCGGTTTTGGGGTAGAAGGATTAGGGTTCATAGAATTTCAGACTAGGACCTCTTGAATGTGGTGCCTTTTTTTTTTGGGGGGGGAGAACCTGCAACAAGAAGCTTCGGTAACCAAGAATATAAGCACTACAATTTGGGATGTTTTGAGGGGATGTTAAGTTTGCGGGGAAGGGGTTTGGGGTTTCGAGTTGGGGGCTCATGGGCTTAAAAGGGTTGGACTGTGGAGTTTGATCTCTACTCGTCTTTCTAACAGGCAATAGAGCCTCACTGCCAAATTAAAGCCAAAAAGAGGGGTAGGGTATGACCTCACCCTCTAGACACGGCTTATAAGGTCCAGGCGTTTCAAGTTCAGTGGTTTGGGGAAGTGCTGCGGTGAGGGTTGTGGTTCATAATTGACGTGGGTGTACAAGGACCCCAAGCGCCCCTTCTAGGCTTTAATTAGCGGGTTTAGGATTTAGGGCTTCCTCCGTAAGAGGTACTTTGGGGCTACAGTAAAGGGTCGTGGGGGTCTATGTGAGGACAAAAGCTAGAGAGATGTGCCACATGCCCCACCAGCCACAAACAAGTGCAGTCGATACCACAATCGCTATCATTGGGCTGAACTGCTTAACTATGTTTTATGGTTCATGGTTTTGAGCCTAGATTTTTGTTTTGGAGATGCTGGCTTAAGAGGCTTGGCTGAGAATTATACACGCATGCTGCGATCCCCCCAACCCCCCCGCTCTCCATGCCCCCCTGCCCGACTCTAGCATAGTGATCCCTTCGCCCGTGCCTCGAGTCACGCGCTTCACGCGGCAGAGCTTGTATGCTGCCTGCTTCGGGCGTATTTCTGTTTTAATGTTCAAGATGTGATGAAGCTGGGGGCTTAGGGGGGGTTTAGGGCCGTTTCGGGCTTAGGGTGTAGGGCTTAACGGTTTAAGGGTTTAGGGGAATAAGGGTTTAGGGTTTACGGTTTTCTCTTTGTGTGTCATCCGCCAGAAGCCCTCAGAGACAATAATTCTACTCTACAGTTCAAAATCGCCACCCAAGCCTTCCTGCAGGACTTGGTTCGAACCCGAAGGACTTGAACAAAAACGAGGCCGCGGAGCTTTCGGGCACACTTCGACCGATTCTCTGAACTTTGGTCCTTAGGCTCATAAACAAACCCTAAACCCTAAACCCGAAGCCCTGAACCCTAAACCCCAAATCCTAAACTCTGAGATTGCCCCTAAAACCTAAACCCTGAACCCTATAAGCCCTAAGCCCTAAACCCTTTACCATGAAGTGCCTTAGTCCTCGTACCTTCCCATCGACATCGCCCCAAAACTTACGGCTCCAGGGCGAAACAACCACGAAGAAGCAGAAGGGGTGTATCTCTCGGACCTGGTTTTGGGTTTAGGGTGTAGAATTTAGGGCTTGGGGTTTAGGGTTCAGGGTTTTGGGTTTAGGCTTCAGGGTTCAGGGTGTAGAATTTAGGGCCTAGGGTCTAGGCAGGGTTTTGGGTTTAGGGTTTTAGGTTTGAGTGTAGAATTTAGGGCTTAGGGCTTAAGGTTTTGGGCTCAGGGTTCTGGGAAAACCCTCAACGGTCCGTATAATTACTGGGGAAGGGTTCAGGGCTCATGTGGCGGTAGTCATAGTTTGGTACTTGGCAGGTACTTGAACCGGATTGGATAGGCGTGGCATGCAATATAGGAGTTTGAGAACATTATGTACGACAGTAAGCAGCCCTAGATAGTTTCCCTCCTAGCGAGATATAATGCACGTTGTACGACAGTTGTATTTCCAAACATCAAACCCTAAACCCGAAACAGTGCTGTACCAGCTCGCCTCCTCCTTAGCCACCTTGTGCAGGACGAAACGGCCTGTCGGGCGTGGTGGTGCAAGCTTGCTTTTGGATTTAACGGTTTAGGGTTTAGGGTTTAGGGTTTAGGGTTTAGGTGTTTAGGGTTTAGGGTTTAGGGTTTAGGGGCTTAGGGTTTATGGAGTTTGAGGGTAAGGGTGGCCAACAAAAAGATCCAGAGACCCGTAGCCCGGTCTAGGTAGGCTTTCTCGTTACACAGG